TTCAGGAGCAAACAAGGAGGTTATGGCAATTGCACAGAAATAGGAGAATTTCAGAAGTGCCTGTGATCCTAAAACTTGGATCTTAGAGATCTTCTGGGGAGAAGTGATTCTCAACCTTGGCTGCAGGTTGGAATCAGCCAGGAAGCTTCTAAAGAATACTGATGCCCAGGGCCCACCCAAGGCTTGTATGTGACTGCTGTGTGGTCATCAGCATGGAAGGGGCTACACTGGAACAGCATGGTTTGGCACAGTTAGCTCAAGGTTATATCCGGCTCTGTCCCTTATTGACTGTGACCGCAGGCAAGGTACTCGCTAAGCATCAATTACTTCTCCTGAAAGTAGAAATGATACATGGGTGTCATTTTAGGACTAATGAGATAGTAAATCTCTAGGGCCTTGCATAGTGTCTGCGCATGACAGATAAGATCTGAAAGAATTTGTTTCCTTGGCCTTTATGTTTATACAGGTGGCCTGTCATGGTATGAGGGAGCAATAGTAATCTGGTCCTGTGGTCCCTAACTGGTCGAGGGCATAGTGTAGGTCACCTGGAAGTGTTAGGGCCAGGTTCTCCTCCCCTTCCAAACTACAAACACAATTTCTCTAGATGTGCTGAGTGCTCTGATAGATACTAAGCACAGAGTATGGCTGGAGTTTCAGAGGATAGACAGCGGTAAGGGGTACGGAAAGGCTTCCAAAGAGGATAGCACTTGAGATGTGATCATGGCTCACTGTAACCTCGAGCTCCTGGGCTCAAGTGATCTTCCTGCCTTGGTCTCTCAAAGCACTGAGGTGTGTGCCACAGTGCCTGGCCTTGAGATTAGAATAAAATGTAGGAGTTAACCAGGTGATGAAGAGGATGGGCATTATGGCAGAGGGAACAGCTGAAACAAATGGTGCATGCAGAGCATTAATAGCACTTTGGTCTGGTCCCCAAACCTCACAAAGCAATAAAAAACTAAAGTTAGGATTAGGGGTGGGTTACTTTGATCCCTAAACCTTGCAAAGATAGCTATAAGAAAGACAATCAGGGTAAGGTTTACGGTCAGGGTCAGGGTTAGGGTTACGGTTACTTGGGTCCTCAAACCTCACAAGAGAGCAATTAAAAAGGAAATTACAAAAACAAAAAAAAATTAGGGTAAGGCTAGGATTAGTAATAGGATGAGGGTTAGGGAACTCTGATTCTCACCAAGATACCAACACACACTCACTTGCACATACATTTGGAACATCTAGGCTTCTATCCTGATGAGATATCTCTATGGATATGATGGATATGAAACAACATATGTTCAAGGTTATACACCTTAGCATTCTGTAGAATAGAAAAAGATTGAAAATAAGCTAAAAATCCATCATAGAGGACTGGTTGAATAAACAATGATACAGCCACCCAAAGGGGTATAATGCAGCCATTGAAGAATAAGAAATGTCCCAATGAACTGATATTGAGTAATTTCTAGGATTTAAGTGGAAAAGCCATGTGGAAAGCAGTGTATATGGTAAGCTAGTTTTGTAAGAAGGGTAGTAAGACAACACACAGACACACACACCTTTATACACAAAGCAACACAGAGGGAGAAACCAGAAATGAGTGAAAATGGTGGGTGGAAATGGTTCAGAAGGGATGGGAATAAGACTTCCCTGAATATACTTTGAAGAAAGTATACTTTGGACGATGGAGCCATGTACCTTTTTTTATCTATTCAAAAAAATAAAAATAGGACAAAAGTCAAACCCTAAAATTGATCACAAATAGAAGCAAATAAACCTAATTTATTTCAAAATGGTAATATGACCATATAGAGTAGCAGATTTTTTAAAGTCACTTTTGCACCCAATTCTTTGACTGTACTTAGGATATCTTCTAAGGACTAAAAGATATGGAAAGAAATCTTAAATTTTACTCAGTAGGTTTATTATTCCTAGTAATGTTGGTTTTGTAATTTTGAAACTGTTGTAGGATAAGAAAATATGTTATTATTTATTAGGAACTAAGATTTCAATATAAGAGAAGAGATACTAATATAAAACAAAGCACCTAATAAAAAACTTCAATTGTTAAATTTGAGTTGGAAAATCAATATAAGTTCATATATATACACATATATATAATTTATTAGCTGTCTACTGAAAAGGACTGAGAAGCGATGAAAACTCCAGTAGTAAAGGGAACAACTTGCATCCAAATCTTGGTTTCTAATTAACATTTCCCATTAAAAAGAACCAGGACACTCCTCGGAGAAATAAAATGCTGATTCCACATCCGGGGCAGAGAAAGTACAAAGTCTAGGACATGTTATTGTGCCAGGAAACAAGGAATTACCCAAAAACTAATGAGATAAAGGACATAAAAGTCAACTAGAATGGGCTCTCATTTGCCAGATTGAGGACAATTTAAGCATCCAAAATAATAAAAGAATAATAATTGTAAAATTGATTGTAACATATTGAACACATTGAATAAATAATATGCATGTGCCCATGGTAACGTAAGGGGGAGGGAAAAGGTGAGTGAGTGTGTGTGTGTGTGTGTGTGTGTGTGTGTGTGTGTGAGTGAGAGAGACACAGAGAGAGAGAAGGAGATTCTTCACCAAAGATACCAACTAGTAAATGTAGAAGGAAGGACAGATTTAGAAAAATCACTGTTTTTCAGTCCCCCATATATTAACTGATTCCAGTAAGGGTTATCAGTGGCTGATTAAATGATAGGTAATAGTTTATTGGGGGTCAGGATATCTGCATGATGTGAAAATATCACATTATAGATTACCCTACTAATTTCAAAGGGGAAGATATATTGTTATAGTTTCATTAGAGAGATCTGGCAGTCACCACCTTAATCAAATAATCAAAGTTAGCATAACTAAGAGTGAGACATAGTTACATTAAGTGCCTTCTGTTGTGACATGATCCAAAGTGCACAATATCATCTATGAAGTATTTTTGCCAAAAACATTGAACATGAGACTAATTAAGCCTTTAGACCTCACTTTCGGTATACAGGCAATACAGATGATGGGAGTACACGTTAAATGAAACCACGAGGAAATAGACAAATCCAAGCCCTCTCCCCTGGCCTTTTTTGTTTAGTCCAGAGGGCTGGGTATCATAGCATCACAGTGACAGCTGGCAGGAAGGCTAGGCAGATAAAAGGCAAGGCCACTTGACAGGCACGGGCTAGCTGTGAGAATAGCAGGCATGTAAATCACCAATTCCCCAGCCAAAGATGACAGGACAAAGAGGCAGAGAAGGAAAGGGAATGGTGAAAAAATGTTGGAAGAAGCCCTGTGTTCCAGCCTTGACTCTGCCACTAGCTGACTGTAGGACTGAACAAGCTAACCTCCCATTCTAAACTATAATTGTTTCATCCATGAAGTGGGAGAATTGGGCAAAGTTATCTCTAAGGGCCTTTTCTATGCTGAAGCCCTCTGGTTCAGAGAACTGCTGGGATCCTATATTGCCTTCCCGGGACAGTCTGTGCCAATGTTGGCTGGTGCACATTTGTCTCTTGGATCTTAGAGAAGGATTTTGAAATCTATCCTCTGTATGACTGCTCAGCTGCCTAAACTTTAGAAGGTCAGATATACGAGTATGTGTGAAGAGTAATAAATCAGACAGGGTTCTCAGACAAACTGAGAACAAGTGAGTATTTAGGAAGAGAAAAATTTTCTGAGCAATTACTTAGTTAAGCACTTGGACTAAGGCAGCCGGGCTCTCTAAGCAAGGTTAATGAGATGATTGCATGGCCATGAGTAAATTAGTCCTACTCTCTAGGCTTCGATCTCTTCCTTCATAAAATGGAGTTTGGGTCTTGTTCTTAAAAATGTCAAAGGTAGCATGTGAATTTCCTCTCCTAAAGAGGAACATGGGACCATGGAAAGAGCATGGTTTCAGGGTTAGACCTGAGTTTGAACCTTTACAGTAATGAGACCTTAGGCAAATGTACTTATGTCCTCTAAGTCTCTTTATCTGCAAAATGGGGCTAGTAAAGCACTCCTCACGGGGAAGTTGTCATATTCAGTGAGATAACCTAGTACAGTCGTCCCTCTATATCTGGGGGTTTCACATAAACGGATTCAACCAACCGCAGATTGAAAATATTTGAAAAAAAATACTGTAAACAAATAATACAGTATAGCAACCATTTACATTGTATTATGTATTATAAATAATCTAGAGACAATTTAAAGTATACAGGAGGATATACATAGGTTATATACAAATATGACACCATTTTATATCAGGGGCCTGAGTAGCCTCGGATTTTGGTATCTGAGGGCACCCTGGAACCAATAGCCCACAGATACCGGGGGACAACTGTACATCGCTTTGTCCATAGCGGATGCATTATTTACATTTGCACATTTGTTTTCTTCCCTTCTTCCTGATTATCTTGTAGGATTCGGGTAGTGGTGGTAGTAATTAAGCCTCTTGAATGCCCCCTCCTTGTGCCCTCTCCCTGGGATGCCATTCAGTCGTATTTTTCCTAACTTTTCCCCCTGAGTGGCACGTTGCCACCTCTAGCCCAGTTGGAGAGACAGTCTTGGGAGAATCAGATGACCATCGCCATGATCGCTTCTGCTGCGGCTCTGGGTTACTCTTCCCAGACTGGTCACAGAGCTGGAGATACCCAGAGAAAACATGCCACGTGGAAAGGCTGCAGATCTAACTTACCAGATGAGTTGTGACAATAGGCCCCAAACCTTTGGCTAACTGTAGCTCTCCAAATTAGGACGCCTATCCCATTCTTCCCACACTTGGGGTTCGGGAGAATCCGAGGGATGACTGAGAATCTGTCTTCGACCCATCCATAGCTGTAAGAGAATAATCGATGGTTGAACAGACAAATGATTAGAAGGCATCGTCTCTACTGCTGAACAAGAACACAGAGCCAAAAGAGCTCCAGCAGTGATAGTGAATCCAGCTCTTTCTCACCTGCAAGTCTCAAAGCCAGCCTTCAGTGCCTCTTCGACCTGGGCTCTGCTGGCCAAAGTCATTCCCAGCAGCCGGCAGGCCTCCTTGGCTTCTGTGAAATTCAGCTGCTGGCCTACCTTTTTGTTCACAAGGGTGATCCCCATAATTCTGCATGGCAGCGAGATGGAAAGATCTGCAAAGGAATCACATGGGTCCTCAGTTTGCTGCTGTCCTTGTTCCCAGCACTCAGGCTCTCCTTCCTAGCAGATCATTATCATCTTGGTGCAGCAATGAGGTCTGTCTGGCTGGGATTGGGGTTTAGAAAAAACAGGACACAGTCCACATATATCGCACAAGGACAGCCTGCTAGGTTAGATGGATGCTTGCTCTGGTCCAAGCTGTAAATCTCACTCCCTAGAAGTCCATCCTATCCCTCTGCATTTAGGTGCCTTGTTCCTCATGGGTGGGGCTTCGGCTACCAGTTCCTGGGTTGGAGACTAGATGATGCAGTTGTTGCAAACCTTTTTGGAGTCTGTAAAATGAAGCATCTGCCACTTTGAGGAAGATAGAATTCAGGACTCTGGTTAATAGAATAGTTAATAATACTCCAAAGCAATGTGGTTTGGGGACATTGCTATTTCTGAGATGGGCTGAAAATGTACTTGTTATAACAGAATGTGAGTGCTCTTAGTTCTAGTCTTCCCTGACCATTGGGGGGCAGGCTTACCCAGAAGTTCCTGGAGGAGCTGGGCAGTAGAACTTAGACAGCAGGAAAAGTAAATAAAGGAAGTAGAGTCAGACCTGGGCTTCTGTCCTTTGCTAGCTCTGTGACTTTAGGCTAGATACTTCATCTGTTTGAGCCTCAGTTTCCTTATTTATAAAATGAAGAGGGTAACAATATCTACTATACAGTGTGATGAAACTAAATGAGTAAATTCTAATAAAAATGCTTAGCATAGTGCCTGCCACACATAGTAGGTGCTCAATAAATCATAGATAACATAGTATCATTCTTATCTTTAAAGCATTTTAGTTTTAGTCTGCGAATGACCGATTTCCCTGGGGAAGCTGAGGCAGTGGAACATGTAAGATGTAAATAATATTTCTACTCACAATCTAACGGGTTTGGGAGTTCTTTTGACCCTTTTCCTCTAGGCTCTGGGATTTGTGGACTTATATGAAATTGCCAAGTTGCATTGTATTTCAGTACATTATTCCTACTGAGCTTCATGCATGAAAGTCCATAAAGGATATTTAAATCTCCCAAGGAATTGCTTATACACAGGGCTGAGTATTGGCCGCCCAGTCAAATGCTTTGACCACTTTCTAGGTTGGTATTTAAAAGAAGTTTCTTTTTGCAAATACTGAGGGAGCATTTCTACGAGTCCTCCATGTGACCTTGTTGTGTTCTGGAACAGAGGCTGGGGAAAGGGATATGTGCATAATGGATGCTATTTGTGGATGGCGATGTTTTCTTCCAGACCCTGGTCTCACCAAGAGAGACCAGAGTCAGCACCCCAATATTAGTGTTTGCAATTGGGGTGACAGAGCAGCCTCTTATGACCGACCATAGGTACTGACACTAATACCTATAGAAATATTGATATTGATATTAATATCACTTGTAATTTCAACACTTATCATCTGTTGATGTTATCCTATGCCAAATCTTCTTTTACGAGAAAACTGAGGCTCAGGAAGATTCAGTAACTTTCCCAAGCCCAAGGACACAGAGCAACTAGGTGGCAGATTGGGGACACAAACCAAATTATGCCTGACTCTAAAACCCCAGGTTTTTATTTTCCTTTTTTTTTTTTAAGAGACCGGGTCTCACTGTGTTGCCCAGGCTGGTCTTAAACTCCTGAGCTCAAGCGATGCTCCTGCCTCAGCCTCCCAGGTAGCTGGAACTATAGATGTGTGCCACTGCACTTGGCTGTGAACCCCGGTTCCTTGACTATGACACTGTTCTGCCTTCCACTGTGTTACAGGGGACTGAACACACACACACACAAAACTAGGCTGAACTCTCTGAACACACCATTTATCCTGGAACATGGCTCCTTTATTGTAAGACCTTTCTATTGCTCAGATCTCTTATGGCTGCTGCTTTGGGAATTGAGAAGGTTTATTTATGACACTATGAAGTAGTCTTGCTACTCTCTCATCATACTTCATTTTTACTCTAAATATTATGAGAGTAATGATAGACTTATTCTTGGTGAATAGGCCTAGCTTTTTTTCTATCATTAACTGGCTGTTGGGATGTCGGGCAAGTCCACATTCTCATCTGAAAAATGGGGATGGCTATATCTTCTTCACACGATTTTTTTCAGAATTAAATTAGATAACTTGTACCTAGTAGAGGCTGGGTCCAGTAGGAAGTCAACAAATATTAGTCATCTTATGCTTTCCTATTTCATTTAGGGATAAAACGAGGAAGCTGGAATCCAAGGGGTACTTTCTTAAGATGTCTTAGGAAATGGCAAACATAGTAGAAATAGTATATACTTACGAATCAGATATATGTATGTAATATCAGATAATACTATATGCTTAGGAATCAGAGCTGAATTTAAATCTAAATTTTATAATTTCCTGACTGCATGACATTGGGCAAGTCACTTGGCCTCACTGAGCCTGTTTCTTCATCTATAAAATGTCTCCTTGAGAGGATTAAATGAAATCATATTTATATACCTAACTTTGGATCTCTATATAATTTGCTCTCAAAAATAGTTCCCATTTCCGTTCACTCACCTTCATCAGCCACCTTATTCCACAATCATGGTTATGATAACTTTTGGCTGTTTCCAAAATTTTAATTTCCTTAGGAAATTTTTGCCATTTTTGAGGATGGTCCAAAGAGTGTGATGGAGTCATTGTCAAAGAACAGTTTCCAAAATAGTTTAAATAATGGCAGCATTGTGGGGAAAAGTAAATAGTCTCCCCAGAGGGTTTCAAAGAGGATCAAACTTATTTAAAGTAACAGTTCTGGTATTTAAAAAACTCAGTCATATAACTCTAACCTCCCTTATAAAATTAAATACAACAATATATGAATCAAGTCTGGATATCTGTTTCCAACATATTTTATATCTCAGGGCATATTCCAGCATAGGAACATACAATTTTCTTTTTAAAGTGCTGAGATTTTCATTTGCCCAGAGCTGCAGTGAGTGATTTGTGGTTACAATTTTTTGTCTACAGTGCAGAATTAGGTTTCCATTTAGGCATCTCAAAAGCCCAGAAAACACTTTAAGTCATTCTTTTGGTAGGGAGCTGATGGCTTAATTTTCAAACTTATAGTTTCACAGATTTTTTTTCAGTTAATTTGGTATTTATTGCATATTAAAAATGTTGCATTCCATTTATAGTACAGTAAAATTGAAATTAAAATAATTATGCTGACACTCCCCAAAACAAAAAAAGTAGGCCAACATTTAGTGAAAGTTACCCATTATTCCCAGGCTTAGTGATTGCTTTAAATTTTTTACAATCATGGTTTTGTTCTTCAATGAAACCCTTTTAAAAACAAATTATTTCTCTTCAATATTTTATTTCAAGATATTCTCATTAAAAATATTCCATAATCAAAAATAAAAGTCCAGATGACCTAAAGGAAAATGTAAATCATTGTGGTGAAGTTGACGATATGTTGAAAACATTTCTGGTACAGCAATACTATTAATTAGACCTGCTGTTGACATTGAGGGTCACACTCATTCCCAGTAGTAATTCATAGTCGAGAGGTTAGTAGGCTTAGGATAGTTTGCAAGATCTTGCCTTGCCTTACCAGTTTGGAAATGTGGTGAGAAACCTACCTTTTACACGGAGAGAGCCTTGGACCAGGAGCCTCGTGGTCCAGATGGAAGCAAGAAGCAACACCAGGCTGAAGCCCTTGGCCATTGTGCTAACCCCTTAGAGCCAGGGAGGCACCCCAGATGGCCACTGGCAGTATGAGAGGCAGATGCTCAATCTCTGGTCTGGATGGAGAGTTCTGGAAATCTGTTGAGGCTCACACTGCTCCACTTCACAACTGAGACATCCGGATTTCCCTGCTTTCAAGCTTCTGACTTGTCAAGGTCACTGGGGGAAATGAATGACGTCCCTTGAACGCCCAGGCTGTACTTTGTGGATGGCTTTCTGGAAAATTTAGCTAATGCTGACTCAGAAAGCACACAAATGAGGAAGGCAGATAGCACAGTGTGAACTGTTGAAGGTTTTCCCAATTCCCATATTCCCCGCCACTCCCTCTCCCCCACCAGCTCAGTTCTCACATCATTCATTGTTATTGCCGGTGGAGCTCATTCATTATACATGAGGGCTGTCCGGAAAGTATCCGGCCATGTAACCATTCTCATTATACTAACAATGGCTGGATACTTTTCGGACAGCCCTCATAGTCCTAGAAATGTCTCTGTCCCTAAAGGATTTTGAGCATAGGCTGTGCTTCTTTTCCTCCCCCAATCAGTGATTTTTTTCTTTTTTTCCCCTCCCAGCTGCCTTGTGATCTGTGGGGTATGATGCTGAAGCTCATAAGAGTAAATGCCCATTTAAATACCAAGTCCAGCACCTCATGCCTTCCTTGGGGTCTTCTTTTAGACATTTGAAATCTCCACACCACTACAGAAACCAGGCATGTATAAAAATTCATATTTACAAATCACAACTGGGGGGGGATACACAAAATTAGTCATTTTACACTTTACGAAGGGATTTTTGACTTTACAATAGTAATCACTGCAGAGTTTCTTTATATAATAACTTTCTCTTTAATAACTTCTCTAATATTCTGGTAGACCAAAATTGAAATTTAGACTCCACCTTTCTCATTTGATGAATGTGAGGTATATCTGTGCTGTGCAGAGTACAATCTATGTTTTCCCAGATGGATTTTCAGTGGTTTGTCCTGCATGGTAATTATGGAGTTCTGGCTTATGAGCAAAATCTTATAAGTTTTCTCCAAAACGAATATCTTTTATAGGATTGGTATATGGATAACTAGTCCTTTTTTTATATAAGTAGGATTGATCATCAAATTAGATAGCTGTGTGGAAAACACCAATAACAAAAAGAGAATCTTCTCAGCACAAAACAGAAAACTTCTAAGAGACCAGGAAAATAGCCCTTAAATATCCCCAGTACAGATCTCATTACTTGGGTGAGCACAGCCCTAGGCTCCTAGTATCTCAGAAATATTTGTGACTCTATTATCATAGTACCAGTAGACAGAGAGGCAGGAATCATGTCCTCTTCATAATTATCCTTAAAGCCTAGCACCATGCCCAAAAGAGAGCTGGCTCTCAAGCATTTGTTAAATTATTACAAAAAGAAAGAAAGAAGAAAGACAGGAAGGGGAAAAAAGTGAATCGCAGAGGGCACAGCTTTGGATAGGAGAAATAGCTTATAAGAAACGAGAAGAGTACCTAAATTTCAGAAACAAATTGCTAGAGAGGGATCTATTGGATAAAGGGAATCTGTCTGATTATATTGGTGCTTAATAATGAGTTTCTGGAAGAGGAAATCTTATTTTTTTGAAAGCCCCTATTGAGAGAAGTTAAGTGATCATTGGGATGTGATTGAAAATTCTTGATTGGAACTTGCTGCTTCTCTTGTCAAGTGTGAATATGCCCAGTCTCAGCTTCTAGTCTCCCCCAAGATAAGTTTCCGAAAAGTTTGTTGCCAAGGGTTAAAACCCAAAGTGGAGAACCATAAAGAAAATATTGCCAGATAATCTCTCTTGACCATTTTGAGAAACAATGTTCAGGATATGGAAAAAGAATCAGCAGTTCTGTCCACTTCTGAAAAGACAGCTTGTGCTGCAATCAATCAGAACCAGTAATTAAAGAATAAAGTTGTAGAATTAGAAGAGAAATTTGAAAAATGAAAATGAAGAGAACAATCAAGGTTCAAAAGAGAGCAGGAAGCCTGGAATATTCAGGCCAGTTTTCTTGTTCCCTGAATATGGAAAACAAAATTGAAAGTTATGTTTAATCTGATATATGCAAATACAAATTTAAATGGAGTAGAAATTTTGAAATGTGTCATGAGGGAAGGAAATCCAGTACCTTTCAGAGTACCAGACTGGGGGTAATATCTAAATTTTAGTTTCAGTTCTAACACTAATTATCTGTGTGACTTTGAGCAAGTCAGTTAATTTCTCTGGGCCTCAGTTTTATCATCTGTCAAAGAAGGGAGTTGAATTATATGAAGTTAAAAATAACATGGCGATATAATTCTATGGTACTTGATATTCTAGGGATTAGTTATCTAAAAATATATATATAGGCAAATGTATTCGTCAGTGTAGTTTAACTACTATACCAAACAACTCCAAATCTCAATGGCTTAACAAATTAAAAGTTTATTTCTCTCATGTCACAATCCAATGGCTGATGGGTGGTGGTGGTGATGGTGGTGACGATGGGGTGTGTGTGTTGGAGGGATTCTGCCACACAGTTATTCGTAGGCTGAGACTCCTTCCGTCAGTCCCTGTGTAGGTAAGTTTTCCCCAAGATCTTCACGTCGACGCAGCAACCAAGGAAAGAGAGTTCAGAGGATCATGCTGGAGATTGTTTTAGGGCCCAGGCCTGGGAAGCAGCTATATCGCTTTCACCAATATTCTTTCAGAACTTTGTCGCATGTTCCCATCTAACTGCACCAACTGCAAAGGAGTTGTAATCCAGCTTTGTGCCCAGGAGTAAAAGGAAAAAGGATTTGGTGAACACGTAGGAGTCCCTGCCACAGTGTGCCTTTCTGATCACCCAAAACAGGGTTCACTATTCCTCACATGTAGAATACAGTACTCTGTTCTCAAGGGAGATGATCCTAGGTCCCATTCAGCTCAAAGTCCATGATCTCCGAGTTATGCTCCGTCTTCCCTATCGGGTCCAGCTGTGGCACTTTGTGGTGTGGTGATCTGTGAACCAAAAAGGTTATATACTACTCCCCAAATACCATGGTGGAGCAGGACCTGGATGACCTTAACAAAAACTCACATGTGTAAAGGGGAAGAATGGGGAGAACAACAATCACCAGCCATGGTGTTTCTGGAATATCAATGAAGGGACATTATAAAGGCCATTATATCAGTTTTCTATTGCCATTAAGAAATTACCACAGGGTGATGGACACACTTACAGTCATGTCTCAAGCATTATAAAAGCAATTCATGTAAGCAAAAATATTTGTACTCCTGTAATACTTTGAAATGAAAAAAAAATCTCATCAAACTATAATTCTCAAGACAGTGTTTTGTAAATGTTACTTAATCACATAAGTAACCTTTTATATTTCATTATCTATAAATATTGTGTTACAATTTGAAAATATATCCTGTTTAGCAATAAAGAATTTTGTCAACAGCTAAAAAACAAACAGACAAAAACAAATTACCACAGACTTATCATCTTAAAATAATACTATTTATTATCTCACAGTTTCTCTATGTCAGAGGTTCAGGTGGGCTCATCTAGGTCTCACAAGACTGAGATCAAGGTGCTCGCTGGGCTGGGATCTTACTTAGAATCCACTTCCAAGCTCATTCAGGTTGTGGGCAGAATTCATTTCTTTGAGATTGTAGGAATGAGGTCTGTGGCTGTCAGCTGGGGTCCATTCTCTGCTCCTAAGGGCCCCTCCATTTTCAAAGCAGCAATGACACACAGAGTCCTTCTCATACTTCTAATCTCTTTGCCTTCCACAACTACCATTAGCCAGAGAAAGTGCTCTGCTTTTAAGGGCTCATGAGATTTCCTTGGGTCTAGCTGGATAATCTCCCTATCTCAAGGTCAACCATACCACGTATGCAACATAGTAACAGTAGTGATAGCTCATATTCAAAGGCTCCAAAGATTGGAGTGGGACATTTCGGGAGGGCCTTTTTAGAAATTCTGCCTCCCAGGTCACCTACCCTTGATTAGATTCTGATTCCACTTCCTGGGAGAAACTCCCATGTCCACTGCTCTCTGTGGCCACTCATTGTATATAATCTTTCTTGGCCACATTTGAAGTGGATGTTAAGGAGTATGTCCTCCTTGGAGGTAGCACAGCTTTTGCAGTCTGCTTCCTACTGGCATAA